ACGAGCACGGTGGGCCGCCCAGCCCGGACGGTCTCTCCCCCCCCCACTTCGCGTGAGCTGTGCTTTTTCTTCCCCGCAGATGTTGGCATGCGAGTCGGAGCGGATTATCAGGCCAACATTCCCGATTTGGAGGCCGGTGAGCACTGCTTTCTTCTTCCGCTTCAGCTTTTCTTCCTCCACTTCCACTCCGGGTCGAGCGCGAGAAATGCCCGCAAACGGTCTCCGTGGCTGCTTTGCGCGGTAGCCGAACGGTGGCCGACCAACGAGGCGAGCCGCCGGCCGGCCGGCCGGCCGCTCTCGCGGATCGGCGCCTTTGGCGTCCTCCGGAACGCTCGCGGGCGTGTTTGTGCCTCGGCGTGAGTCTCTCCGAGAAGAGGCGAAACGAGCAACCGAGCGAAGGAAAACTTTGACTTGCCATTGTCCGTTCAGCCTCTGAATGGTTTCAGGACGGCGCCGAACGCTGACAGACCTCGCCGTTGCACCCCCAATCCCAAGTGAGGGCGACCTCGTTTTCCGCCAATTCGCATGAGCGTCACTGTCGGCTCCAGTGGAAGATCGCTCGCTCCTCTTTTTGTTCCCCGCTCGCTCGAAACGGCCGAGCGACGACGCGGCCTCCGATCGGGAAAAGCGACGGAGGAAAGCCAAAGAACGGTCTCGTCTGCTTTCGGGTCCATCTGGTCCCTGAGCCGAGCCGCCGCGTGGCTTGTTTCAACCGAGAGCCATTTGGGTCCGCTCTCTTTTGCGCCAGACTCCCCCGAGTGGGCACACGAGCCTTCAAAATGGAGCGAGCGCCGCTCTTCTCGGAAACATTTTGAAGACCCAACAATCCGCTTCGGACCCGGCCGGCTGCCGCGACGCGTTCATCGGCGGGGTTGTTGCTGCTGCTGCCTGTCTCCTTCTCTTTTCAGACGGGCGCTTTAGTCAACGTGCTGGTTTGCTCTCCGGCCCAGACTCGGGTCAAAAGTTCAGCGGACAGCCGAGAAAGTCTTGCCGGCCGCTTTGGCGACGGCGTGTTCGCTCGCCCGTTAGTCTTCTGCCCCTCTTCCGGGTCATGACACGCAAAAAAAAGCCCGTTCGGGCAGAAACGAACCGACGACGGTTCTACGAACGGAAAGCTTTCGGTGAAGGTGACGGGGCGGATGGCACATCCTGCCCGCCGGCTCCAAATTGATTCCGAACAGTCGCCGAGCGATCGGCCCGTCGGCAAAGGGTCCGAAGGCCCGGTGAGGCCGGAGTAGCCGGCAAAGGTCCGCCGTCGCTTTTTGAGCCGCTGACGCCGCCGCTGCCCTTGTAGGCTCCGGCAAATACTCTGAGCGGGACAACGGCGGGATGCTGGTGTGGTCGCCTTCCCGCGACATCCAAGACGGCAAGCGTGAGTGACGTCCGCCCGCCCGCCCGTCCTGGCGCGCGCCATCGCTAACGCCTTCTTCCTCCGCAGTGGACGAGTACGTGGCGCTGGCCAAAGAGAAGCACGGCTACAACGTGGAGCAGGTTGGGTGCGCCTCGCCGACGCTCGTTTCCAACGGCAACGCCGGACACCGTGTGCGTGCGTGCGTGTGTGTGTGCGGGGGGCGGGGCCCGCGCAGGCGCTGGGGATGCTCTTCTGGCACAAACACGACATTGACAAGTCGTTGGCCGACCGCGCCCGCCGCCCCCGCCGCCGCCCGTTTGGGAGTCCATCGACGGCACGTTGCGACGTCAGCTTCCAGATAAATCCATCTCCAGCCTGGTCAAGTACTACTACTCGTGGAAGAAGACCCGCTCCAGAACCAGCCTGATGGACCGCCAAGCCCGCAAATTGGCCAGCAGGAGCAACCGGGGCGACAGGTGACGCGCCGCACTTTGCCCGTGACCGCGCTCTCCCCAAATCAAAATCCCCTCCGCCGTGGCGTTTCCACGTCGCGACGGCGGCCTCGTTGCGTCGCGTGTCCAAAACGCCCTTTCGCAGGGAAGCGCCCCCCCCGGCGTGCTCTCCAAGTCTCGCGACCTCCACGCCTCTCCCCGGCTGGCGTCCTCAATCGAGGCTGGCGTCAAGAGGAAGGCTCGCCGCCATTTGTCACTGTGCCGGCGCCGAGAAAGCGAGCTCGGCAGACAGACGCCTCCGCACGTCGCGTCTCGCCGTGGAAATCCCCGCGGTGGAGCGGGCGCCGGCTGCGTCGTCGTCGTCGTCGTCGGGCTAAGCGTCAAAGGAGCCGTCGCGCCAACGGATAGCGGCCGGCGTGGCGCCACCCTCTGGCTTGGTGTGAAAGCGCAACAACGTTTCCAAAAGCAGGCGCGTCGCCCGCGAGTAAAATGAGGCAAAGGCCGCGAGCGACGTCGGCGCGAGTACGAAGACGCCCGCCGGCGGCGTCACCGCACAGCGTTTGGCCGATTGACAGCCGGCCGACTCGACGTTGTCATTGGCCGACGTTGGTGCGCGCGCGCGCTTGCGCCGGCTCGTCTTTTCACCGATGGCCGCTGTCGTCGCAGCGACGAGGAGCCGCAGGAGGCCAACGCCGCCGAACCCAACGACAGCGACTACGACCCCCACAAAGAGGCCAAGGAAGAGGTACGCGGCCGCGTGGCCGGCGAC